AAAAGCCCAATTTACCCTTTTGTCTATCTAACATAAAATAATTAAATATATTTTTTGAATTTAATATAATATAAATATTATTGAATTTAATTTAATATAATATAATTTAATATAAGTTTTGAATTTAATATAATATAATATTATGAGAGCAATCTTGGAAATTACTTGTTTATATCGCACGATATATTTTGTAAAACAAACATGGATAATATATATCCAATCTTATATATCAAGTTAACAAATATGAATTGGGGGATATATTATCTAATACCTATATTCTATTCACTATATATCCTGACTAAATCACACATCATATTATATCCTCTATTTTATATCCAGTGAAACAAACAGCGCCTTACACTCTAATTAGTGGGTCCACCAAAAGTTCCTTCCCTTTCTCATTTCCCAACACTTGATTTTGTTAGAAACAATTTAAAAAAAAAAAAAGATTTTTTTTAAACTTTAGTTTAATTTTCAAGCAAGACTAATATATAGGTGGCGGGTCTAAGTAGCAATACGTTCTATGTCGTATTGTGATTTACGTAACATATTTAGTTACTCAAAATTATTATTGGGTGAACGAGAAATTGAAACCAAAGTGAACTCTATGAAAATAGTATATTGATAGAATTTCCATAAAGGTTTGAATTAAGATTTGTCCTGAATTGGTTTGGAAGGCAAACTTTATGTGGATTTATAAGGCTTGGGTTTGGAACTTGGGGTAGGCTCAAAGGGGCACTCAAGTTTTGTAAGGGGAGGTTACGGGCAAAGTGGGTTAAACCCATTAGACTCAAAATAAATGTGCGCCACCATCAGTCCGGGCGAGCTGGGCTCTAATTCTTTTTAGATAAAAAACACTTGAATTTTTTATTTTTTATTTTTGAAAAAATAAAGTATGGCCGTTTGAATTTAAATTTTGATTGGAAAAATTCAATTTTGGCTTGCACCTTTCTGTACAGATTCATATATGTTCATTTCAAGCCCAAACAGTTTCTTATCTGTTCAAATAGTACCGAACATGTGCCATACTTGTTGGATTCAAATTTGAAAAGCCACAATTTCTCCTATATATAGACAAGTCCCTCATTTGGATTTTCACTCAATTTTCGTCCTCCAACTCTGCCATTACTCTATGCATTTTGCTGCATTTTATTTTCCTGTGAAAAAGAGTATAAATACAAAAAGTGTGTTTGTTGTGCGAATAGTTTGTAGTGCTGTTACTATTCATTGTTGATCATTTTATCTTGTGAGATAAACGTCCACAATCTGAAAGCACCGTGGAGATGACGAATCTGTCTTAAGGACACAGTGTTAAACACTCGACTTGATCAAAATTTTGTTCAAGAAATTAATAAGGTAAGTAATTAATTTATTATCTGTTTTATTTTTTTTTCCTTTTTTCAGATTCTAATTTTAGTTTTGTAACAAAACTGGAATCTGTTGTTTCATTTTATTTTATATACTAATTTAATATTTGTAATCAAACAGTCTCTCTTTTTTCTTTAATTCTTTCCTTGAATACATTGAAGGTTGTCCAACATATTTCCCACCACCAGCACCAACAAAACCCAGACATTATTAGTTGCCACCAGCACCACATCCTCATCCGCTTCTTCATTGTCCACCACCAGCGATTAAAAATCAAAATTTTCAGATGATTTAAAATAATAATAAGAAAAAAATAAAAATATGACAACTCATCTATTTATCACTTCCTTCTTTCTTAATGCCAAAGCCACCAGAAGAACTCGTTGAGACCTTGTAGAGGCAACCAAACCAAGGCCAACTAGGACTGAGCAAAGAATCCGTGAAATCCGTAATCCGATCCAGTCCAGTCAAATCCAGTAGGTTTGGATTGGTTTTTTGAATTCGTGGTTCGGGTCTGGATTGAAAAATTAAAAATCCGTAGTTTACGGATTGGTTCTGGATTGAACCTCACGATTTCGGGTTGGAACCGATCCGGACCGTATACAAATAATTTACATTTTAATTATACACCCTCATGTATAGTATCTTCTCTTATTTTATATAAAACTCAAATCCAAACCTAAATTCGCATAGTATTTTCTTTTATTACTTTTGTTTGCTAGTTTTTAGTGTTAATTTGTAATGGTATAAATACTTATGGTAGAACCAGTTTTCTTATGATTGTTTAAATTCTAGAACTGCATGTCGCTATTATAAAAAGACATGTTGCTATTGTGAAACTAATATGGTGCTATATTTATATTTTTAGGAAATTAAAGTGTTATACATATTTTTTGTCAATCCGTGATTAAATGAATTGGTTCAAATTGGTTTCACGATTTAAATGGATTGGATTGGTTCCAATTTTTCAGGAACTGTAGATAACAGATTGGTCCTAGTTTTACCCCAATTCGATCCAATCCGAACCATGCTCACCCTTGAGGCCAACCTTCAATTTCTCTCAAAAGGTGGTTTGTTGTTGTTTCGTTTCTTCCCTTGATGCTCTCTTCAATGTCTTCGAAAGACAATGGTTGATTGGGCAAATGATGTGGTTCCTATTTACTTACACTTTTACTATATTTACTAGATTTAGATCTCACGTCTAAAAGTAGATCTAGGTTTAAAAGATGAGGGATGAGTGAACTGTTAGGGATGGGGCTGTGATAAGGAAGGGCAGAAGACGACGCCGGATGATTTGGTAGTAGGCCAGCCTTCCTTTGTGGCAGTGAATGGTGGTGGTGGTGGTGGTGGTGATGGTGGAGAGAGTAGGGAGAGAAGGCATTGGGAGAGAGGTAAAGACACAAGGCAGTGGTGGTTCTCGGTGACAGTGATAGCGCGTGGTTATGTCCAGGAAAGAAGAAAGAATCACTTGGAAGAGAGACGTGAAGAGAGTGAGATTTTTTGTTGGGCCCATTTGCTCATGTGTTGAGGCCACATCCCGTCGCCATGTTAGATGGTATAATGATTGAAGAGTAAAGATTGAGACTCATACCCCCCACAAGATTTATAAATTTGAATCACTCATGATAGGAATCTCACACATATATGAGTGGGCTCCACACATATATAGAGGGACATGATCACTTTAGAAGTGTGGAGGTCATCTCCAAAGAGGGTGCCAAACATTTTTCAATGCCTGAGACCCTACAAAAACTCTACCCTACAACTCCCACATTATTCTATGTGAGAGAAAGGGGAAAAAAAAATTAAAATTAAAAACACACATAAACCAATTACACACATTTAAGGATCATGGGATTCCCAAATTAGGAGTCCCACACTTTTCCCTATATATATACTAGCATATCACCCGTGCTATGCACGGGTTGTGTTTATAATTATTTATATATGTGAATTGCGATTTTTTAAAATATATATATATATATTATATATATACTATTAATGTCTTTTTTTTTTTCCTTTTATATATTATTAAATTAAAAGTTAATATTAATGATAAAATCATATGTTGTTAAGAATTTTTTCAAGTGAATAAAATGGTCTTTTTTTTTTTTTATAATTCAAACTATTAAAAAGTTTTTAATATTCTGATAATAAATCAAATATGTGTTGACTCAAGAAAATTTTTTTTTTGCTTTGTTCTTAAATGATTAAAGTGTTATTATCGGGGAATCAATAATTCCCATACAATGTGTTTGGAACTTTTCAAGAATTCATATTGTGCATGTGATTTAAAAAAAAAAAATTAACTTGTTCTTAAAGCATTATGGAGTGTTATTATGAGTAAGACTTGGGAGTTGGAGAAGTTAATAAATATAAAGGTTTTTTTTTTTTTTTAAAAATCAAAAAATCAAAAAATTTAGATTGAGAGATTAGAACTCCCTTAAAAACCCCATTTTACTTAATATATAGTATAGATATTGGACATTAATACATCATCATCATTTCTTACCAACTAACATTTTATATATGACCGGATTTCTTTTTTTAAAAAAAACTATCCATTTGATCAATTATTGATTTTCATTCATGTATACCTTATCAACATGTAAATTGTTATATGCTACAGTTTTATGTTGTGATTGATTCCGCACGTTTGAAAAAATTTATTTCCTTGGAATAAAGTAAAAATATGTCAAAAAATTTAGATAGTAAATTGAAATAAAGATGTAAGTGAGATTTTTTCTTTATATAAATTTAATTAAGATAAATATTATGTGTAAAAGAAGAAAGAAATTTGTGAAGTAATATAACATATTGCTACTTTTTTTTAATATATTTTGCGAGAAACTAAAAAGTAGTGAGATTGTACACAATTTTTTAATTGTAATTTTCAATATTCTCATATTAAAACATATGAAATTTTCATTTTTCATTTTTGTCCACACTTTTCACCTCTTTCATCCTAATTAAGTTGTGTTTCCCTCAAACTTTTATCCAAATGGTTGATGTAAATATAATCATAAAATGTTTTTTTTTTTTTTAATTTTTAAATATAATCATAAGTAGTCAATACTATTATTGTGGATATAATTTAGAAAGAACGGAACTTAGGCCTCGTTTGGAAACATGCTAATTTAATAACTTTTTTGCTAACTGGCTAAAAAGGTAGGTAAAAAAAACTTGTATGTTTGAGATGACTTTTTGACTAATTACGAAAATCTGTGCAAAAAGTAGAGAGAAGTTGTAATTGTTGACTTTTTGGTATGACTAATTGGCTAATTGGCTAATTTAATAACTTTTTGACTAATTGACTAAAAAGATAGCATCCCAAACGAGGCCTTAATATGTGGAGCGCATTTAGCTTTCATCGGTATCCCTGGACAGTAAATGATCTTGGTTGCTTCAATGTTGCTACACAAGCCGACTTGGTAGAGCTGAGGCTTCCCTGATTTGTCCTCGTTGCATCATAACCCGGGCATGTACCCAACTGCCTTTCGTATGCCCTCTTCTACACCCGTGGCCGCGTCGTACGTTGCCCCATTTGGCTGTATTCCCGCAACCAAAAAAAAAACAACATTTGTATGTGATTTAATAGGATAATTGGCAAATTGACTTATAAATAGTGTTAATTAGTCTCTATTCTCACCTTCATTAGTGAGTATTTTGAGGAGGTTCACTTGTTTCTTTAGTCTAAGAGCTGCTTCAAAGTAGTCATGTTGGTTCCATTCGTGCGACCATAGCTTATTCTCACTGTCGCTGCTTGGGCAGGCAAGGGCTGGCCAATTTGTTTGCAAGTTTTTGGTTAGGTTTGAGGTCTGTTGTACCATAAAAATCATTACACCACCCATGATTAAATTTATATATATAGCCTAGGCCTAATTAAGGACCATAGGCAAAATAAATATATAAATTGGAAGAACCATGCAAAAGAACTTAAAACTTAAAGCAAGCACCTTAAATATGGTTATACATTTGAGATTATAGAACTCTGGGTATTATGAAAAAATTGTTGCCATTATAGCAAAGGATAGTGAAAATTTTATTGGCATTGAATCAATTTTGCTAAAACCATGAAAAATTGGCACCATTGCAACTTCCTAGGCAAATGCAAAGAAACTTAAAATGTGTCTTCCCAGATTTATTTATTTATTTATTTATTTACCTGTTTCACATTGCATAGCGTAGAATACTAGAGATTTAAAATTAACCCAAGTTCAATAGTAGAAAAAGAGTACCTTAGCTATGTTGAAATGACTATGAGAATCGCAGAACTCTGGGATTGTAGCATCCAAATAACATGGCCATAGTCCAGCGATGGTGAAATCTTTTGCAGGTTTCCCAGTCTTTGGGTAGCAACAACCTTGCTTCCCACCAGAGTATGACCCTGGCCACTACATCAAAAGTAGAAAAATTAAAATTAAAAAAAAAAAAAATTAAGGACATAGCAATTTGGTAATTTCTATTCAGTGAAGTAAATGTGACCCAAACAAAGCACATTGGCAATGACAGTTTTTTGACATGGCTAGGGATATGGTCTCCCAAAAAAACCTCATTGCTTCACTGTTCTAATGTGCTCTCAACAATACCATATAATGCGTATTGTACGGGCAAGAAATAATCTTCTTGTATAATCCTGTTGATCAAGTCTGCGCTCCTCCAAACGTCGTCGCTTTACTCCCTGAAAACACAAACGTGAGCTAGCCGGCGGGTGTATGCCGGATACCTCTCCGATGCCTAAGTCAGCAAGATAGACAAATAGACAAAAGCTCTGTGTATTCGGGAGTCAAAGTTGTGTTACCTCTCCATATGTGATGTTATGAGCTTTTATAGGTTCCACGTGGCACAATCCTAGTAGGACTCTTATTCCTCCATGCAGAGTCCTCTTAGGAATCACATTCCTGAAAGATAATGCTTATCCTTCAACACCCCCCTCACTGTTTAAACCAAGTGAGATGGTTCTACCACGGTTGGATGTCAATACGACCGAGATAACATAGCCATGCTAAAGCCGCAGACTAGACCGAGCTCCCACTAGCTCGGTTTTTCCTTTCACTGAGTGTATCTCGGTTTGACATATTCTAACTAGGTTGTCTGAGACCGCACTAACCACAACGAGTTTGGACCGAGCTAACCAATAACAAAGTTCTGAGGAAAGCCCACCTTACTTTGGCTCAACATGGTATGACTGAGCTAACTGTTACCGCTCTGAGTGTGGTGACCGAGCTAACTGCAGAGCTCTCTTGGACCGGGCTAACTTCTAGTCCCTTTTACTCGGCCTCTCTTATTATGGCCCATAGATCGGCCCATTACCCAGCTCGGCCCAATTTACATATAAATTACCCTCTCAATTGCCCCTTAATTCCATTTGCGTAGCATGATAGGGATTACCTGTTACCAGCCGAGCTAATAGCTTTGGCTTGTCAATCGAGCTAAAAAACCTTAGCCTTCCAACCGAGCTAAATTTACATCGTGCTACCAACCTGTCCGGTTAAAACGTCTCTTCAGTCTCTAACTGAATCGATTTCTATTCCAAGGACACATGGCAGACTCTGATTAGCCAAATGCAGTTGTCACGTCGTCTTCGTACTCCGCGCTTTTTGAACAGTTCCGCCTTTTTGTCTTTCCCTCTACACAAAACAAACCCTTCGTTTTGAATCTATCACTCCACTATTCATTACTTTCTCTCTCTTCGACCTTCTTCTCCCTTATTCTCTTGCAACTGTGGAGCTCGTGTTCTTGCTGATACTACCTCCATCTTCAGTGTCGTCACCTTGAACTGGTAAGTGATTCGAATCTTCTTCTTTTCTGTTGATTTCACACCTCTTTTTGCAACACAAAGCATGTTTATGTTTTTCAAAGCGTGTGTTCCATTTTTGCTTCCATTTTCTGGAAAAACCTTTGTAATATAACCACTGGTACTCACGAATAAACTGAAGAACGATGTATCTGATCCAAAATCACGCATCAATCGAACTAGGATACTGTTTGTATTAGATGCAAGCCTAGCCACAACCAACAACCGCACTAAAACTTATGCCATACTTGTGGTTTCCATAAGTTAGGGACCCTCTGCTTCTTTTAACTGAGCTATCGAACCGCATTAAGTTTGCGCAATACCGTGCTAGAAAGCCTCAACCACCGATCGGGCTAAAACTTAGGGCTAAACCAGCTCCCTTAGTTCAGACCGAACTAAGAATGCTGCCCCAAAGACTTAACCGGGCTAAGGACCCTTGCTCAAACCAGGCTAAGAAGGGGTAGTGGCCCACGTAGCCGAGTTAGGACTTCATTTATTTTTCCTTTGTCTCTTTTAGCATGGTCCAACGATCTGTGCTTAACACCTCTTTTTTTTCACTTTGCAGACTTAGGCTGCCAGGCACTCCCTTGAACGCTCGACCGAACTACTGAGCGTCCTTTCAAGACCGAGCTAAAACTCTGCTTATTTATTCATAACTTAAAACCTCATGGGCAAATATAGATATTTGGTAAACACCCCAGGTGCTATGGCCGACTTCAGAAGGGACTACCATATCCCTGATGATGTCCACCTCACCCTAGCCGAGCTAGATACCATACCCTGGGGAAACCCTGGCTTTGTTCCCTTTACACTTCTTTCCATTGTAGAAACCGGACTAAGATTCCCTGTACAGCCCCTTATATGTGAATTCCTTAAACAAACAAACCTTTGCCCTACCTAACTTTCCACCAATTTTTACCGTATAATAAACGGCATTGCGAAGCTAAACCGCCGGGCTGGCCTTAATCTTAGTCTAGCCGAGCTCTTCACCCAATACTCCATAGGATCGGCTGAGGATGGCTGGGTTTACTATTTAAGAGTAAGACGCTGTCGTGAAAAGATAATAAAAAATACCCTGGATAAAGACGTGAATGATGATGATTTCTTCTGGGTATCTGGGAATTTTGAGGACCAACAAGCCCAGATCCCGGGCGACAGAATAAATTGGAACAAGGGTAAAGCCGGTAGGATTACCTCGGCTCAATTCCATGCTTTTCTTTACTTCGATTTTCTGATCTTGAACCTTCGCCAGAGCCAGATCCATCCTTGCCTCAAATCAATCTCATCCCACTAACTGCCGAACAAGAAATGGCCAAGAAACGAGCTGTAAGGGCCCTCCTGACCGAAACCAACCAGCCCGAGGTACCACCAGCCGGCCAGACTCAGGAGACTGTGGCGGCCCTTCCATCCCATCAACCCTCATTATCTCGTCCAAACAAGCGTGCTCGGACTTCCACAACCGAGTCACGCCTTGTTGATGAAGAAGATACCATCCTTCCGCCAAGCCCTCCCCCGAGCCCATAACCGGAGTGCTCTGACCGAGCTAGCTCTTCCAAGTGGGCTCCAAAGATCACTTTTAAGAACCGTGCTATACGGGATACTGATTCAGTGGTCGCTGAAAAAGACCACCTAATGGCATTCAATCTGGCCAAGAGCGTTTGCTTTCTAGTCGACATGGAGCACCACAACCATCTCACCGAGCTGAAGGCCATTCGCTCGGCCACAAAGTCAATGGTGCTGGTAAGTAACCTCATTTGCTGATCTTTCTAATTTGCACGACTTTCTGCTCGATTTTACTACAAGTCACTTTCTATTTTTTTGCAAGCCATGCAGAAGAACCACATCGCTCACAAGCGTGTATTGGAACTTCGCAAAACAACAAGGCAGGCAATGGCAGAGGTAACCAAAAAAACCGCCGAGCTAGAACAGGCCATGAAGCAGATAGCTGAGCTACAAACTGAGAATGATTGTCTGACCGGTCTTGTTAGCTTGGCTGAAGCAGACAAGCAAAAGGCTGCGGCCGTGATAAAAGATAAATATCTGCGCGAGCTGGCCAAGCTTGAAGGAAAAAAGAATGCCGAAATAACAAAGGTTGAGAAGAAGCTGGAGGATGCGGAGAACCGCGGTTTCAAAGAAGGCGAAGCCCTGTACATCAAGAAGTGTGAAGCTACGAAGGACCTGTTCTTTAAATGCGGGTGGAGGGGGCTGTGGCGCAGCTCGGTTATGGACCTGAGACCGAGGTCTTCAATCTTCCTCCATATTTCATACCGAGCTCACTGGTAGAGTATGCTGCTACCATTCAGCAGCAATTTCTGGAGGAGAAGGATGAAGATGAAGCTCCAGAAGAGAACACTCAATCCGCTCGCCAGTCTACCTCCCCAACTCCAGAGGTCTCCATCCCACCTTTGCCAGCTGTGTCCGATGTTGTGCTTTTAACCGAGCTTAACCAGAGTGTGGTTGCCACAACTGAGCTACCTCTGGGCGAAGACTGGGTGGTTTTAGATGCTGACTTAGATGACCTGTTTGCTTGACTATGTACTTTTCTTCTTTTTTGCCTTTTGGAAAGGGAGACTGTAACCGGGCTGAAGTCCCCCCTTTTGTACTTTGACTTGGTATGATCAATGAAATCTCTTTTGTTCCAACTGTTATTTCGGTTAACTGCCATGCATGTAACTTTCTAACTGTAATCTGAATGAAGTATAATATTCTCGGGCCGAGATACCTTATCCTGGTCATAACTTTACAATCTGACTGGCCATACCTGCCAACCTCTTTAGCCTTAATCCTTATCTCGGCTAAAGAATAATAAGCGTTGGTTTTTCCAGCCAACCACTCTTCAGCCTAGATCCTTACTTCAGCTGAAGAGTACTAAGTGTTAGTTTTTCCAGCCAACTTCTTCAGCCTAGATTCTTATCTCGGCTGAAGAACAATAAGTGTTGGTTTTTCTAGACAACCTAGAGTAAAGCGTTTGGTTATTCCGACCAAACATCCTGCAGCCTGGATCCTTATACTGGGCTTAGGAAGGGTGTTGGTTTTTCCAGCCAACCTCTAAGTTGGTTATTCCTGCCAACCTAGAGTAAAGTGTTTGGTTATTCCTGCCAAACGTCCTGCAGCCTGGATCCTTATCTTGGGCTTAGAAGGGGTGTTGGTTTTTCCAGCCAACCTCTAAGTTGGTTATTCCTGCCAACCTAGAGTAAAATGTTTGGTTATTCCGACCAAATGTCTTGCAGCCCGGATCCTTATCTTAGGCTTAGGAGAGGTGTTGGTTATTCCAGCCAACCTCTAAGTTGGTTATTCCGGCCAACCTAGAGTAAAATGTTTGATTATTCCGACCAAACGTCCTGCAGCCTGGATCCTTATCCTAGGCTTAGGAAGGGTGTTGGTTTTTCCAGCTAACCTCTAAGTTGGTTATTCCTGCCAATCTAGAGTAAAGTGTTTGGTTTATTCCGACCAAACGTCCTGCAGCCTGGATCCTTATCTTGGGCTTAGGAGGGGTGTTGGTTATTCCGGCCAACTATGCTTACAAGGCGCCTAATTCACTAAAACACTCTTTTATAGAAGGAAACAACTATACTGAAAAGAAACTACTTATTTTATTGAGAAAGAAAAAATTACAAATACTTGAAAGAAAAGCTAAAAATAAAATAATTTGAGATTGGCAGTGTTCTATGGCCTGGGAATGGTTTGCCGTCCTCGTCTTCCAAGTGGTATGCCCCTTTTCCTGCTAATCCAACCACCTTGTAAGGTCCTTCCCAATTAGGCCCTAACTTGCCATCTTCGGGTATCAAGGTGTTGCCCATCACTTTGCATAGTACCCAATCTCCGATTTTGAAGTGTCTTGGATGTACTGTTTTGTTATACTTTCTGGACAACTCCTGTTGGTATGAGGCGATGTGAACCAGTGCTCTTTCTCTTCTTTCTTCTGCAAGGTCGAGTTCTAATGTGATGGCTTCTCCATTTAAGTCTGGATCAAAATTTTCGCATCGAATGGTGGGGAGGCCAAATTCCAGTGAGATTACTGCTTCCATGCCGTAGGCTAAGGAGAATGGTGTTTCTCCCGTTGATCGTCGAGGTGTAGTACGGTAAGCCTATAAAACATGAGGAAGCTCCACAACCCACTTTCCTTTTACTTTTTCTAATCTTTTCATCAATCCATCCAAGGCAACTTTGTTTGATGCTTCTGCATGGCCATTTGTTGGGGGTATGCCGGGGTAAAGTTATAGAATTCTATCTTGTACTCCTCACAAAAGCCTCTAAAAATTTTGCCGTCGAACTGGGTGCCGTTGTCCGATATCAGCGCCTTAGGTATGCCGAATCGAGTGATGATATTTTGCCAGACGAACTTCTTCATATCTTTCTCCTTTATTGATGCTAGTGCTTCTGCTTCTATCCACTTGTGAAGTAGTCTGTTGCTACAAAGAAGAACTTCCTATTGTCGGGTGTTGTTGGAAGTGGCCTTACGATGTCCAAGCCCCACATTGCGAAGGGCCATGGACTGGTTAAAGGTAGAAGCTCTCTGGCTAGTTGATGCATTTGGTGTGCGAACTTCTGACATTTCTCGCACTTCTTGACATACTTCTCCGAATCTGCTTGCGAAATTGCTCTGTAAGCCAATGATCTCCCCCCTTGGTGGCTTCCGCATACGCCTTCGTAGATCTCGAATAGGAATGCTTCGACCTTGCTGGGATGGACACACTTCAGGTAAGGTCCTGTGAAGGTTTTCTTGTACAAGGCCATTGATAGAGAGAGCCAAAATCGCTGTGATTTTGCTCTTATCTTGTTGGCCTCCTTCTTCTCTTTGGGTAAAATGCCGTCTTTTAGGAACACTATAATGGGATCCATCCATGAAGGGCCTAGTTCGGCGCAACATACCTCTTCTACTTCGGGTTCTTCAATGCTTGGTCTGGTAGGAAATCGATCAGTAGTGGATGTGGGATGGATGTATTTGCCATTGAAGCAAAGCCTGCTAGTTCGTCTGCTCTGCTATTTTCTTCTCTGCCAATTTGCTCCTATCCGCACTACTTCGAACTTCATGATCTCTTTTCTGACTAACTCTTGATACTTAGCCATCCTTTCGTCATTTGTCTCGTAGTCGCCTGAAATTTGGTTTACCACCAGCTGTGAGTCACTGTAAACTATTAGCTCGGTGGCCTTCATGTAGAGTTCTGATT